CCTCCACACTCGCAGATGAGCAGCAGACTTACAATTACACCCAGGCGAGTCCTTGAAATCAAGCGGAGGGAAAGCAGACGGCTCTCGGTTTACAAACCTTGCAGCGGGGCCGTAATTAAATACTGCCGTGGATTTCCATGAAGGAGCCCATGCCGGCCAAGAGCAGCTCTGCGGTGGCATCCCAGACACGCCAGTTATTCCCCGTGCCATCGGGGGAAGCGACGGCATTGCCGTCCCCAGCAGGCACGGGCTGCTGCCGAACGCAGCCTTTATTAATAGAAGCTGCCGATGGGGTGAAGCCGACCCCACAAAGCCCGGCTGCGGGATTTGGGGAGGGGAAACACTATGACACCCATTCGTGGGAACCCCCTCGCTGCTTTTCCCACCTATGGGATGGTGATGTCCCCGGGAGCTGGATACACACCCCTTTAGCAGCACCTAATGCCCCTTCTCAGACTTTTTTAGCAGATAAATTCCTCGTTTCCTCTGTACCATTTAATTAAAAGTTAACATGTGCTTTTTAAACCAGGAGCCCGCTAACCAAGCCTTTTGTTAGAGCTTAATTATATCCCCGTTTGTTGCTGCAATATAACATCCCCACGGCCAGGAGGCAAGTCCTTGAGGAAGCTCAGATTTATGCCTCCCCCATTCCTGGAGCACGAGCAGCTACTCCAGCTCCTGGAGATGGCTCCGATAAAGCCTGACCCCGCTCACGCTGCGTAAATACGCCAACATCCCACAATGAAAGCCCGGGTCAAAGTCTATTGAAGGCTCGAGTGGGTGCTGGCCTGAGCCGCCCCATTCCCCCAGTGCCGGCGGGTCCTTTGCTGTCCAGCCCATCCGAACGTGCAGCCTGGGCTTAAATTCTTTCTTCCTCAAAAGAAAGCTGAATTTTTTTAAGTGCTGAGAATGGATGAGTGTAAATCAGGGTTTTGGGATTTCAGGAGGGGAGATTGCAACTAACAGCCCCAGCATCCCATTCCTCTGCTTGCTACGGATGCTCGGTCAGGGACAGGGATCGAGGGGCTTGGCTCCATAAAAAAAACCAAGGAAGGATGCCGGATGGAGCAGGCAGTGATGCCAGACAGCCAGCAGCATGTGCAATGCGAAATACCCCCGTGCGGTACCATGTGCACTGAGCTGGGCAGAGAGAAGGGCAAAAATATATAAGAAAAAGGAGGGGAGCAGTGTTGCCTGCTGATTGGGGTCAATCCCCAGCCCCCTGTGACCGGCACATCCCCAAAACTGAGCCCTGCTCATAGAGCCACAACGCCTCAGAGTGCGTTACTCCGGGAAAGGACAGCAAAACCTGTTGTGTACGTACGAGACTGATGCAACCACAGCGGCATAAACACCCCTCCACCTCCCCAGCACAGCGCCCACCACTGCCAACCCGGTCAGCATCTGCTGCCGGAGCATCTGCCGCTGGAAAAGCCCTTTGCCGGCATCGCTGCTGCTTCATGCAGCGCTTGGGTTTTGCAGAACCACTGTTCCTGGCAGGAAAAGCCCTGGTTTGGGTTCCCACCCTGCCTGCTGACTTGCCATGGTGCCGCTGTGCCAGTCCGAGCCGAGCTGTGCTGAGAGCCTGCCCAGCGCAGGGCCAGCACGTCGGGCAAGGGCTGAGCCGAGCCCCCTCTGCCCCCCACCACGAGGAGGATTTGGGGAGCCCTCGCTCTGTCCTGGGGGGCAACAACCTGCCAGCCTATGCCCGTCCCCGTAGTTTCTAGATGCACTGACAAGGATGCGGCGCTGAGAACGACGCAACTCAATGCACATACCAGAAGGCAGATAGGGATGAGGAGGAACAACTCCCAGCAGCTGCCCCAGCACCGCCCAGGAGCAGGATGCCCCTGTGTCCTGTCCCCGCTGGGATTCCCTCCCGCCTGGTTTTGTGCTGGTGCCCCTTTTATTTGGAGCCGGATCTGACGTCCCAAAACCCATCCAGCATGAACTCACCTCTTTGGGTTGCTGCTTTCCGGCTTGCTGCTGTGTCAGTAGCTGCAGGTGAAGCTGCTCCTGTTGCTTCTTGTAGTATTCCTGCAACTGGGAGGGAAGGGAGCAGCTCGGATCAGCAGCAGGAACACCCCGCTCGCATCCCCCTGCCCAGCTCTACCCCTGCCCAGCGCCGGGCTTTGCCGCAGCCACACCAGCTCCTGGCACCGCGCTGGCTCTTGGCTGCAGGTTTAGAGGAAAAGCACCCAGCTGGAAAAGCATCCTGGCTGCAGAAAAAACCTTGGGCACATGCTCTGGAGGGCTCTGGATCCCCACAGCGAGTAAAATCCCCAAACACCCCCGATGCCCAACCTGCCGGATTTTTAACGCCGACCGGTTGCCCTGGCGTTCTGCCACCGGGGAGCCTCCGCCTTGCCAGGCCCTGGGGAGGGGGGTCACAACCCCCCAGCTCAGTGATTCCTGTGTATCATGAGGATTTTGCAGCCGTCCTGGGACCGGTGAGGGGGGGTTTTGTTTAATGGGGAGGATGTGAAACACCAGGAGGTGGGTGACCCTTTGAGAGAAGGGGTTTCAGGGACTCTGGCACGCTCTGTTTCAGCAGCAGATAAACCCCATTTTCAGCACGGTGGGATCCCAAAACACCCTGGCAAGCACCGTGAGAGCCAGGGGGGCTGCTGGCTGGGAAG